GTTATCTCTAATGTCCTTGAAACTCAACAACGTTCTTCCGAACGTGGAGAATAGAGTACCTCAGCAATGGTTAAGATTGTATCATTGAACAACATTATACGTGCCTTACCGTATCCTTCTATCAGGTTGGATAGGCCTGAGAGGGTTGTCAGAGGTGTATTCTTAGGTATGAAGTTAGTGAAATAGATGCGTTTAGGCAAACGTGTATGCATGGTTACACTATCTGCTAGACAACTAACTTCCCCACTAGTCATACCTACAATGAAAAATTAATTTGAATCAGTCACATGCATAAAAGTTCTAAAAACAAATATCAATTCAAAATAATTTCATTTATTCAAGGATGGTAATTAATTAAAACTTAATATCCAAAAACAAATCACCAACAAATAATCCAAACATAAAGGAAAATTTTTCAAAAATCAACCAAAACAAGGGAGGGGTTCGGCCACTAGGTGGAATTCGGCCCCATTGTCTTATTTCAACTAAAAAATAAGTCTATATCTAAGATTCTAATCTTCCATGAGGGTGGTATCCTCTTGAAAGTCAGAAACCTCTATCTTTGTAGTCTCCGGTTGGTCCACTCGCACGAAATTTGATTCAAACTTCTTACGACGAGAATGATATTCATTTACAACCTTCTCGGGAGCTTAGCAAACACGGGACCAATAGTCATTTGAACCACAGAGATAACATATATCCGCATCCATGGTTTCAGGTGTTTTGCCCTTATTCTTGAAGTTCGGGGTCTTGGGAGTGAGGTTTAAGCGCTTTTGGGCTTTGTTTCCTCCCTTGGATGGGCCTTGATTATGTTGACCTTGGTGGGATGGCTTTTGGCCGCCCCTACCACGCCTCTTTTGGTGTTTCGAGTGTTGGTTTATGCTATAATGTGCTTCAAGCACAGCAGTCGTCCACTTGATGATTCTTCATCAACAGCTGGTTCTGCTTTTTAGCAAAAAGTGAAATAAAGATCAAATCCGAGAACTTAGTGAACTTCTTAACTCTATATTATTGTTGTAGAACAATATTAGAAGCATAGAAGGTCGAATAGTTATTTTCCAAGTGATCCTCTTCGGTCAAAGTTTCATTACAAAACTTAAGAAGTGATCGGATTCGACAAACTTCATAATTGTATTCATTCACAGACTTAAAGTCTTGGAAGCACAAATGCTACCAGTCAAAGTGACCCATAATGCATGTGGATCCTCCTCAGCAAGATATTCAGTTTGCAGAGCGTCATGAATATGTCTTCGGATGAAGATCATAACAGTGGCTTTTTCAGCTTCGCCAACATGGTTGTCTGTCTCTTCTTCGATGGTGGGATGCAAGTTCTTTGCAGTGAGGTGGAGCTTCACATCTTGGACCCACTTGAGGTAGTTCCTTCCAGAGACCTCCAAAGATGTGAAGTTGAGTTTGTTTAAATTCAACATGTTCCTATCACAAAATAGATGGACAAGATGTGGTTAGTGTAATGGAGAAAAAATCAATTCATTCACATAGTAGTAGAACATACAGGTTCTAATAGACATGTATTGGTTTAATTTTGCATGAAAAAACTTCGGGTTTTCATGGGTGATGTTTTTAAAAGAAAACTTCAAGTTTTCAAACAAGGCATGATTATAAGAAACTTCAGGTTTCAAAATAATTATGAACTTCAGGTTCATATATTCCTGCAGGCAAACACAAATATATACACAAAAAAATGCAACAAGAATATACAAGAAATAGAACTTTTAGGTCTACAATTATAATTTAATTAGTTATTTGGACTTCGGGCCAAAATTAAAGTGTGGGTGAAAAAAATTGAAACCCATTGGGCCTAAAATAATTAGGCGAATAAAACTCAGGTTCCAAAAAAATAACTAAGCCCACGGATGGCTTTAAAAAAAAATGGGTGTCGTGCATTCCAGGGCCTATAATGGGCTGGGTCTCAGGTGGGACTGCAGGCCCACGAGGAGAAGGAAAAACGGGCCGCTGAAAGCGAGCCCTTAAAAATGCTTAAGGCCCACTTCAGGTGGGTCCAAAAATAATGCTTTTTTTTTTCTTTTGCAGGACGGGGGAAATAGCTGGGCCTTCAAGCCCAAAAAGTTTGAGTCATTGCAGGTGATCCCAAAGAAAAAAATAGGCCGAGAGAAGAAGCCCAATGAGGCTCGGGTTAGGTCCAAAAAGCACCTCATCCGTAGCTGGGTCTGTTCGCCGAGGAAGAAAGCTGGCGCCACCACTTTTGACGATCGTGCTTTGGGACGATGGTGCTCGGGTGACTCTATAGGTCATGGGAAACTTCAAAGGTGAACGGAGATTTGAAAAAAAATCTCGACATTCTTTGTAAAACCCTAAAACTTTGAATCAGGTTTTCAAAAAATCCGATGAGATTCACTCGAATCTCGGTCAATCAATGTCGGGGACGAGCTTCAAGCTGTCAAACATGGTGACCTGAGATATGAGGATGGGCTGCAAGCCACCCTGCGATGTTAGAGACGCCGTAGAGGGCATCGGGTTTCTGGGTTTTAACTTGGAGCCCGCGGCTTTGGCTTGGGGACTCGATGTGGCCATCCAAGCTTCATGCTTGGTTCAAGGCACAAGGTCATGGGTTTGAAGAACCCAGACCGTGATTCCCGATTTCTTTTTTTTTTCAATTCAAATATAATTCAATTCAAAGCATATTCAATTCAATATTTTAATGCATGTACATATATTTGATGCAATTCATGGCAAATATCAAATTCACATAATTCAATAATTATGAATATAATGCATACACAATTTATGTAGAATCTAAAATTTGAAAAACGTAAAGTTGGGTCATGCATTATGGTAAATGTTTATGCTATCAGGGCTGCAAAAATATCGAGATAAAAACCGTTGTTTTAAAAGAACCTGATTGCGTGATGATATGAATGAACTAGTTTGATGTAGAAAAAAAAACTTCAACGTCAGATTCCTAAGCGCAACAGTAGAAGCGTGCTGATAACATGTTGTAGCCTATTTTATCTGACAAAGGGAATAGGGCCGGTGGCAAGGGTAGAGAAATTGAGAGAGATGTGTTTGTAGAATTGTAGGGGAATATGTGTTGTTATCCCTCCTACATAGTGAATTTATTTATAGTAGTAAAAAGGAGAGAAGATATTCCTTCTTCCCCAAGTAATACAAGTTGTAATAGGAAATGATAACTAGAATTAAATCTAATCTAGGATTTACACAATCATACGTAAACTAAGAAAGTTTACAACAGGTTTGCTTTTTTTTTTTTTTTTTTTTTAACACTTCATGGTGGAGTCGCTTTCATTTTTTATAGGTATCGAAACACAAGTTAATTGGTCTACCACAAGTATACTGATACATAAAACTTTACGCGTTACAATTATGTAGATAATAAAATATGAAAATGGTATAACATATAAGCATACGTATGTGTATTATCCGATAACTTTCCTAAAATAACATTTTGCAAAATTTGGCCCTTTTTAAATTATTATTTTTATTTCTTCGATCATGTTAAAAACGTGAATTTTATATTTATATTAAATGTGTGAAATAACGTTTCTTGAATGTGAAAAGTACCTACATGTATACACATAGATGTATGTTGAAGTTTTAAAAACGTGTTGTTTAACAAATCATTAAGATTACTTTCAATAATACAAATCTCTAAAAAAAAAAAAAAAAGGGTTCTCTCTCTCTAAAGGGTCTTCCTTTTTTGTCCTCTAAAGTTCTCTCTATATGAAAAACAAACCTAGGAAACTTTCGCCGTTGGCCTTAACCTTTGGCTTGGGTGCCGGAGGCAACCACCCCTCCTTCCTCTTCCTTTCTTCCTTTCTTCTTTTCCACTCTCTTCTTTGTTTCCCTTGAGTTTTTCCTCAATTTCTCTCTCTCCTTTGCCCTATTCCTTTTTTACTCCCCTCTCATCTCCTCTGCTACTACCCCCTCCCTGCATCCCCCTCCTCTTCCTTCCCATTTTCAAGTTTTCTCCCTTCCTTTTTAATTCTCAATTCTTCCTTGAGTTTAATCTCAGTTTTCCTTGAGCCGAGTCTCAACTATCTTAGGCTTCGTGCCTATGTCTTTTAATTTTCCTTCCTCCCTGTTCCTTAGTCGTGATATTCCATCTCCACCACCACCAGACGCTCAGATCAATAGGCTCTGTTTAGAAATTGGATATAAGATCTACTTCTCTCCCTCACTTTCCCTCCCTCAACCGGCATGCTGGATCCCCATCAATGCTAGGTGTTATGTGGCCTTCACCACAATAAGTGTATTTTACATACCCTTAACCTCACTTTCTACCCCTAAGATACTTTCTTTGTATATATTTGCAGGGATTTGTGATAGGGACTTGGATCTGGTGTCTACTTTCTCGGTTCGAAGTTTGGCTTTCTCTGAGGATGTGGCGGTGGCGGCGATCTGGTTTACGCTGCTTGAATTAGGGTTTTCTGTTATTTATTTTTTCAACCTTCGGACCTAAGCTTATGTGGGCATCTCATTGTATCTTGGGTTGCGGCTCTCATTTTGTTTAGGCCTTTTATTGTATCTGTTGTTATTTACCTGACTCTTATGTTAGCTTTGTACTAGTTTTTAATATATTGAAAGTACTTCTTGAAAAAAAATAAAAAATCATAGACGTGCATAGAAAACCACATGCCCTGAGCTTTTTAGTTAGTACATCCTCCAATTTCGTCTCCACATGTCCATATTATGTTTCACCAATAGGAAATGAGCATGTTTATCAACGCTTAAGTAATAATTCAACCATCAACTTTCATATCATTTAGTTTACAAAATTTTGTCTACAAATTTAGTCTACCTAGCATTACTCGAAACTAAAAAACATAGTTTGGTAACTACATTTAGTTTTTCCAAAGATAAAAATTGAAAACCAAAACAAAAAACTGAAAGTGAAATTGTTATTAAATGATTCTTAAGTTGCACATTAGAACAAGTGGTAAATTGTCTGTCCTAACAGGATCTAACGGCTCTTGTTCTTATGCATAACTTTAATCGTACACTTTTAGAGAAAAACTCAAGAGTTTCAACATTTCCTCAATAAGCCCAACAAGGAGGGCCCATAATGCGGCCCAAATATCTACATAAGGCTGACAAGCCCAAGTAACAATCACTTCCGTCAAAACACATGAATCAATATGCTTGAACAACATACACCCAAACACTTCACATCTGCGTTTGTTTTGTTTACCAAGTCATTTATTCAAATACTGTTTACAATCTATTACAAACGGTGCAACAGCTGCTCTGTCTTGCCTCGCGTCTGATACAATGATTCCGGCAACGAAATTTAGTTCCTATGCATCGTCCCCGTCACTACCACTCATGCTAGGACGAGTATCAACAAAGAACTCTCCGGAAAAATCTACTTCGTCTACGATCCTCCCTCTGTACTATGAAGGTAAAGTAAGAATGACAGCTGAGCGCATTATGCATCGACCGAAAAAATTAAGGGAAGGTTATACCTTTCAAGGATGAACTTTCCCTCTTTATATTTCTGGCTGTTCTCGTGTGCAGATTCCTGGACGTGGGATAAAAGAATGTTTTGAGGAGCATGAAGTTGAAAAACTATGCAGTATACGACTCTGGTAGAGTGTGTGCACCAGAGAGAGAGAGATTACATATTTCCAGCCAACGATTTGGCCACAAGAGCAGCAAAATATATCTGCAACAGTATGCAAACCCGAGAGCATCATCCTCTCCTCTGATGTTCCAGCAATGGTATTCACCCTGGTTCACAAAATCCAATGCATAAATCAGTATCTACTGGATTGCTGTCTGACATAAGTTACTTAAAAAGAACAATTGAAATGTCATTAGTCACGGATGGAATATGAGATGTCGTTTTTATCTCACTCCACAGCTCTCTCCTAAAATATAAGCAGCAAAAACTTATTAAACTCTACTAATTAAGTCCTCAAGTTGAAGGCATACGGTTACCCATACGGTCAAAGGAGAAATTACTTGCACTATATCAAAAGTCTACTGAATAAGATAAAAAGCATCAATTTCTGAAGTGGTAAAACTTTCTGAAGTGGTAAAACTGAGCAGTAACTGGAAGTCAGTTCCTAATGGTTAAAAAAAGTTTCAGTTTCTCCGGTTTCCCAACTGGTTTTCTTTAGGGTGTTCATTCCCTTAATTATTTTTCAATTGATCTTGGCTTGTTCCTTCTATTCATAACAGGAAATACATTCTACAGGGTGCCAAGAGTACTACGAGTGGGGATGGCAGGTTGGTTCGATGTTAGAGTAGAAGTTGGACATCTTTAAATTCCTACCCACAAGGAGATCACTGTCCTAGACGAAGAATTGTGAAGCCACCCCTTAAAGATAAGTCAGAACCTTTCTCATCAATCCAAGGAGTGAAAAAAGCTTGATGAAGACAACATATGACTATCATGGTTTGCTGAAACTTGAATATAGCACTATTTGTCTAGCGTATCCGAGCACTTTCCTGGAAAGCAAGTGCCTAAACCCAAAAAGAACAAGGAAACAAAACAATCTTGAATAAAAGGCACTACATACACCAATTCTTTTATTATTAGTAGACATCAATCTTCTTCAATGTAACAAAAACCAAGATTGGAAAAACCAGACTTCACTAAACAATCAGGAACTCAGCACCAGCAATTCCCTCCACTAGTAAGCATAAAATTGACTCCTTGATCCTAGTCATAGAGATTTCTATTGAAGAGGTAGGTCCACAGAAAATTTGTCCAACTAAAAGCCACTCCAATATCTAAAAGCTAATCTTCTTTATCCATGTTTCCACCTAGTGGTCCCGATTGATCGCCCCAACTTTACCAGCAATGATTCTGCATACATGTTACAAGTAAAGCCCACTGCAGCACTGCCCATCCACCAGAGCCATCAACTCAACACAACCCATATTCCAGAGTCATCCCCGAGCAGCTTGCCTACTATCATTAGCATTTTCGGTTAATATACATCAAACTGGTGGAGAGGTTATGAAAATAACCTCTCAAAAACAGATGGAGAGGTTATTTTCATAATCTTTTCAATGAAGGACATGAAAGGAGTACTTCTTTGGGGAGTTGAGTAACTCAAAAGAGTGTAGAAACTACTCCTTTCACCGCCGAATCAAGAAAGAATAAGTGGTTGTAGCTTTGAAAAAGATGAAGCATAAAAAAGCAGTGGGCCCAGATGATATACTAATCGAAGTGTGGAAAGTCTTGGGAGAGACGGGTATAGCATGGCTAATAGACCTTTTCAATAGGATTTTGAAACAAAAAAGATGTCAAATGAGTGGCGAAAGAGCACTTTGGTGCCTATCTACAAGAATAAGGGCGACGTACAAAATTGCATGAACTATAGGGGTATTAAGCTAATGAGTCATACAATGAAGCTCTGGGAGAGAGTCATTGAGCATGGATTGAGGCAAGAGACACGGGTTTCGGACAACCAATTCAGGTTCATGCCAAGGCGCTCAACCATGGAGGCAATCTATCTCTTACGAAGATTGATGGAAAGATATAGAGGTAGAAAAAATGATATACACATGGTCTTTATAGATTTGGAAAAAGCATATGATAGGGTCCCAAGAGACATTCTTTGGAGGATTTTAGAGAAGAAAGGAGTACGAGTAGCATATATTCAAGCTATAAAGGATATGTATGATGAAGCAAAGACTGCCGTAAGAACTCATGAAGGACAAACCAAAAGCTTCCCATAATTGTAGGGTTACATCAAGGCTCATCCTTAAGTCCTTACCTTTTTGCATTGGCAATGGATGAGTTAACGGGACATATTCAAGATGATATTCCTTGGTGTATGCTTTTCATAGACGATATAGTGTTGATAGATGAAACTCAGGAAGGGGTAAATGCAAAGCTTAACCTTTGGAGAGAAGTGTTGAAATCTAAAGGTCTTCGCCTAAGCCGATCAAAGACAGAATATATGGAGTGCAAGTTCAATGCAAATGGAGGCCAAAATCAGTTAGGGGTGAGGATCGGAGAGCAAGAAGTACCAAAGAGCGACCGCTTTCGCTACCTAGGATCTATCTTGCAAAAGAACGGAGAATTAGATGGAGACCTCAACCATAGAATACAAGCTAGATGGATGAAGTGGAAGAGTGCATCCGGTGTGTTGTGTGACCGCCGTATGCCATTGAAGTTCAAGGGAAAATTTTATAGGACGGCAATACGACCAACGATGCTGTATGGCACAGGAATGTTAGGCGATGAAGCATCGGCACGTACATAAAATGGGTGTAGTGGAGATGAGGATGCTTCGTTGGATGTGTGGGCACACGAGAAAGGATAAGATTAGGAATGAGGATATCCGAGGTAAAGTAGAAGTAGCCGAAATTGAAGGAAAGATGAGAGAAAATCGGTTACGGTGGTTTGGACATGTGCAAAGAAGGCCTACTGACGCTCCGGTTAGAAGATGCAACTACGGGACACAGGTCCAGGGCCGAAGGGGTAGAAGAAGACCTAGGAAAACTTTGGAAGAGACTCTAAGAAAAGACTTAAGAGTACTTGGATCTAACGGAGAACATAACACAGAACCAAGCGCAATCGCGTTCTAGGATTCATATAGCCGACCCCACTTAGTGGAAAAGGCTTTGTTGTTGTTGTTGTTGTTATACATCAAACTGGAACCCCCAAAGAGCACGACTATTAATGTTCAACATCTAGTTAAACTCGAGTAGATCTTTCTCAGCAAAAGAAAGCCTTTTAGCAGAGCAGATTAGCATTACAGAAAATGCATGATCTTAGCTAAATTCACAGGAAAAGTTAACTCTTTCCATTCCTGGGAGATTTTACATCAAATTGAAGAAACTTCTCCATGTAAACAAACGTTACTCAATAGCATGTTCTTGTTAGCCTAAACCAAAGATCACGTAATAAGTAGCTTCACTGCATCTTGCCAAGGTGAAAGCCACTCTTATAATTACTAGATCCTTGTACATTTCTAGGGCTAAGCTTCTAACCATTTTGAATAACCTAATTCAGGAATTTTAATGGTGTCCAATAGGACTTTGAAGAACCCAAGAGGAACTGAATACTTCTTTCCATATAACAATGTCAGAACGGCTATTTACATACATTGCAGTGACAAGATGCACTAGTTGATAAATGCAGAATCCATAAACTGAACAAACTTAAAGCTTGATAAATATAAAACATATATCGGAATCAGATCAGATATCCATGAAAGATGAAGAACTCACGCATTATTGAAGAGGTATGCTTTTCCTCGGTGGCAACGAAAAGCCTAAACAATCACAAGGGAAAAATGAGACCTGAAAGAATGTAAAAACCCAATAGAGAAGTTTAAATACATATGCTGGTGATCGCAAACAAATAAGACCTAGCAACTCGATAATGGTGACCAACATACCAGGTTGCACAGTCCTCAGAGTGGTAAATCTTTGCACTCCTACAACACTAAACATCGAAAACCCGAAAAATCTTCTAATTCTTTCTTACTTTGCCCATATTTGTAAATCAAAGACGATAAATTCACAACATAAGCATTAGAAAACTAACCAATAAGCATTTACTAAAAAATTTACCAAAAAGCACTCTGAAACTGAAATTAGACGATTCAACCTCACTTTCTATGCATTTACATAAGGCCCAAATCAGATAAACTAATGCTGATGAACATATGAGGACAAAAAGCAGAATTAAAAAAGCACTTACAAAAAAAAAAAAAGCTTCAATAACTCAAATTTGTGTGACAAACTACAGTTACTGAGGAACAAAGAGAGAAACTTTTACAGTGATTGATGATGGGTAATTGTTGTTGTGAGTGAAAGATGCAATCTTTGAGCAGAAATTGAGAGGAAGAGAGAGAAAAAGTTACCCGAGAGACACAGTCGGAGAAGAGGGCCAAGTGAGTTTTGCAGAACTTGCATTTGTAGCACCTTCCCTCCAGCTCTACCACAAATATCCTTCCCATCTTCTCTTTCCTCAGCTTCTCTCCCTTGCTAGTTGCTAGTCAGTAAGATTCACTACTCCCAATACATATATGTATATCTCAAGGATTCGGAACCAATATATACATGTTTCTGTTAGCGTTTTTTTTATATATGAGAGAGAAAACAGGATGGGCACACAGTGCCACTCTGCTTGTTCCCAACACCCCAATCATTTATTCGTGACAAGTGTGGATCAGGAAAGGAGTTGCAGTAGATTGGGACTTCTTGTACCAATGAATTTGTTTCATGTAAATTATTTTTATAAGTTGAGATGAAATTTTTTTTCTGATGTAATCTGCTATTCAAATGACGTTATTTATCCAATTTACGCTTACAGTGTGTTTAAATAATAAAAAATAAACTAACAACGCAATGCTTATGCTTATGTCACGTTGCAGGTGGATTGTCAAGGTCATTTCCGAATTATCGCTTCCATGAGTCAAATATTTTCTTTTGTAATATAATATTACCAAAGAAAATTATAAAATATTGTTACTTTTTTATGCGTCACTTGATTTGCTAATTAATTAATACTTAAATCACCAGCCTGTTCAATTTTTACTTGGCCAACCCAAAAGGTGGGTCATACAATATTGTGTAGGGGTAGCATCATCACTAATATAATTTGAGTATAACTATTCACACCGATATTTTTACTTCTCATATACTCTTCTCAATGTTTAGCTGTCAGATCGAATAAATTGAAAAACAATGATCAAAATTAATAAGGACTTATGAAAGGTAAAAAAAAGTGCGTTACCTTTTTCCTATAATTTACATGCTTTTGATTTTTGTTTATTTTTATATATTTGGGTTGGGGTTCTAGTTCAGCATTGTGGGTAAGCAGCCAATACAGAGTAGTGAACTTGGCCCATGGACTGCATCTCTAATGGGGCCTAGTGCTTTGGTCTATATTGGTCACATCTTTGGGGCTCTAACAATAATGTTTTATAACACTTACGCTACTAAACAGTTTGTAGTTCAAGTAGTTAAAGTATTCAGTTAGCCATACGAGATTCTTTGTTCCATTTTCCCACTCCAATAGAGAGTGGAGATAAAGAAGCAAATAGTTGACCTGACATGATGACATAACAGATGAATCGGTTTAAATATCTATGGTTATATGTTATTTCAAATTTTGATATTTTGGCTTAGAAAATCCTTAGTGGATATGGCCATTTAGATAAACACCAAACTAAGAAGCTCTGCCCTCCCACTTTCCGTGCCCTCTTGTTTGTGTAGTTACGGTTAAACTACGTTAACATTTTATATTACTATTTATTTTTGTCTTATTATCTCTACAAAAAAATAATATAAAATATTGATGTGGTTTGACCGTGACCTCATAAAATATAAGGGTACGGGAAGTGGGAGGGTAGAGAATCTGCCTCCAACTAAGAAAAGGTAAACACCATCACTGCCCATACCTCCAAACTGTGTGCATTATTTAATTATTATGTAGTTTACAGCTAGTTTGGGGTTGCTGTTGCGAAAAAAAAAAAACACAATTTTTAGAAGTAAGGGTAGAACTGCTTTTGCTTTCTACTATTTTGAACCCATGATTTTGACAAAAAAAACATTTTTTTTTTCATTACCAAACACAATTTTAGCCCCAACTTTAAAAAAATTTAAATAAATAAATAAACTGTTTTAAAATAATTAGCAATACCAAACTAGCTCTTGGTTTTTTCAGTAAAGTATTTTTTATTCCCCAAGTAGCATATTAGGATAATTAATAAATAAATAATACGTAACCATTTACCACAGTGATCAAACTAAATTAAACCATTGCATGACAATGTAAGTCTGAACTCTGTCGCCGACAAATCTAACATCCATTCTAATAGAATCTTTCGTTTGACACAAAAAAAATACAAATAAATCTCACACGGCCGAAAAAGAAGCCCATATCCGTACTGGCTCACCTGAGTGACAGCCCACAAAGAACAATAGCCGTCCTAAACCCACATATTTTAATTTAATTTTTTAAATTTACCATTTATTGCGTTTCGGCGGTTTGCGTGGCACCCTGTCACGCCCCCACTTTGCGTGACCTAACCCGGAGCCTTTACATCACCCGCGGGTCCCACCCACCGTTTCCTCCACGCAACTCCCGCCGACGACGCTCCCTTCGCGTAGGCTGTCGCTGTCACTTTCGGGCACGTCACCGCCACACCAGTCGCAACGCAGCGAGCGTCCGTACTTCCCGCCCACGTGAAGGCGGCTTGCGTGGCGGGGCGCCATACGGTACGTGTCAGCGTCGTGCACAACTGCATGGGGAGCGACAAACTTGTGGACTTCGTGAATTCCAGACGACACGATCGATGTGTGGGCCCGGACCAAAGCGGCCGCCCCGCCTCCACCTAAGAGCACTATTTTCTCACGTGGACATTTTAATTGTTCCCCAAAAGTTAGTTTTATCTAAGACGGATATATTGTGAAATTGTGAAAAATATTGTGATTATCTTTCAGCATCACCCCGACAGTTTTCGGTTTTTAACTTTTGGCCGCCTTGGTTTTAATTTTTTTTTTATTCAATTTTTTTATACAAATATTATCAAAACACCTTGGATACGAATTTAGATTTTTTAAGGGATAATTTGATATAGATCCAATTTTGTGAGCCATTACTATAATTAGTCCATTGCATTGAAATAGGTCCAATAATTGATATTCTACGTAAGCTTATTTATAATTTGTACCATATTTATCCCTTAGACTTATAAATTGTCGTAAATATTCAAAATTTCTTAATTATATCTTTATTTGTGATTTAACTAATCTCTTAATTGTAGGATTAGTTATAGCAATAAAATCTCAACCCCCAGTCTGTTTCATCCCTCCTTTTTTTTCCTTCTTCTAAACAATTTCCTTTGTTAGATCATGGAATCAATCATCCTCTTTCTTCTATCATATTTCATGGGTGATATTTTGTATTCCTCCCTCCAAATTCTTTCATGACAATTTCAGTTTTTACATAGCTTTCACAATTTTTTTACATATTCGTTCGGCAATACAGTATCAATTGCAAGCAATAATACAGTATCATGCATTTATATTTGCTCTATTATATTTTTGTGCGTATCATAAAGGTAAACTGAAACTTAGTATTTGTTCCTTTTTTTTGTTTAGTATTTGTTCGTTTAATAGAGGTATATTATATCATATTTCTATTCTAATGTTCTGCCATGGAGGTTCAGCATTTTTCTTCCTATACAATAGGTAGTTTATTTTTATTTTGTTGGTAGATTATATCTGTTTTGTAGGTATAAAGCATTTTTCTTCCTATACAATAGGTAGTTTATTTTTGTTTTGTAGGTAGATTACATATGTTTTGTTGATAGTATTTTTCTTCCTATACAATAGGTAGTTTATTTTTATGTTGGGATTAATCTGTTTGTAGGTATAAGCTTTTTCCCTATACAATAGGTGTTATTTTGTTTGTGGTAGATTCATGTTTGTTGGTTTTTTTCCTACATAGGTAGTTATAATTATATCGGTTTTGTAGGTTCATTAGGTGGTTATAGATATATTTAGTTAGTATTTAATATTCAAAAAAACTGATAAAGATACAAAAATGTTTAAATATTTTGTTTAAAAGGGCAAAATAGTATAAAAATATGTATTGGATAACTGGACTTAGTTAAAAACTACCTTTGTTTTTGGACCTAGTCGAAAGCCCATTTTTTAATTACTTTAGACGACGGTTTCAGCCAGCAAGTTAATCGATTATTTTGTTGCTCACCGTAACAGTACGTAGTGATATAAAATTATATATTTTAATAATAACTAAAAGTAAAAAAAATTGATCTTATAAGCATGTAGGCAACTCATTAAACTCGTTGTAGGTGTAGTAAGGAAACTATGAAAATATGTATGAGATGTACTAATCATCTCATACATCGTACAGTGGATGCACAAACTTTGAAATCGGTAAGTTAAAATAGGCGCTAATTGTAGTGAGGAACCCTAAACCCTACATAACCATGGTAAGTTAAAATACATTCAAAAAATAGTTTAAGACAGTTAAATTAGGCGCTAATTGTATTTCTCTAAAATTAGGTGTACAATTTGATGGCATAAACGTTTATTTACAAGAGTGTTTAGTTATGATGAACTACATAACGATAGAAGCGCACACTAACCAACATTTGATAACTCAATGACAAAAATCATATATCATGTCAATCTAGTTATTACCAAAGAATTTGTGGGTCTTTATTGTGAACTCATCATCCTTTAAAGCTGACTTAACCCTGCTTAATAAACAGTTTTAATAAATAATTTTGTGTTTCATTGTCGATTCTCACAAAGAAATTGTTTGGTTTAGAAATCTAAGTGCAAGCCAATTTGAGGCAAGAGTTTGTGTCCGATATCAAGGTATTTTGTCATGATGAAGCGCACAATGATAGGAATTTGCTCAATCTAACTTTTGTTAACTGACAATAAGCAATGATGATGTCAAAATATTTTTTTTGGTAGAATTATATTACCTTGTTGTTGATTCGCCAACCTTTAGAGCTCAAAGCCAATAATTCTTACATAAGGCAAAACATCCTGATGAGCTGGAGTATAACTATCGCAGATTTGGTTAGTTACGATTTAAGGTATTCGGTATGATGAACTAGACAAAATAGAAAATGTGCTTAGGACAACTGTTGTTAAACGGACAAAGTAACTAATAACATGAGAATGTCATTTTATATTAAAGAAGTTTTTTGACTGTTAATACTGTAACGATCAAAGAATTTATTTGTTCTAGGATTTTAAGTGATTACCAATATGATGACACAAATGTTCATTTCTAAGATCAGGCTATTCAGTTATGATGAAGCAGACAAAGATAGAATTTCACTCGACCGAAATTTTGTTAAAGCAACAAGAAGAAATGATAGTGTTAAGATGAGTTTTCATGTTGGTAGGAAATTATAGTCCGTACTGTTGACTCATCAACATTTAGAGCTCAAAGCTGATAATTCTTACATAAAAACTATATATCATCATAATGAGCTAGAGTATGAAGTAGATATCGTCAGTTACCAACGAAGGTATTTAGTTAATTATGACAAAATAGAAATACAAGAAAACGCACTTAGGCTAGCTTTTGTTAAACAGGAGAAAAAGCAATAATTACTTAAGAGTATTGTTT